AGTTTCAAAAACTTTTATTTATCCTCTTAGTCATTTTAGTTTAGGATCATCTAAAAGAAACCAAGAATTTGGGTGTAGTGTTGTTTAGGACTGTGAACCAGCTGAAGGCAGGGGCTGTGTCTCACTTTTCATTCCTAGAGCAAAGAACTTTATTCAGTGCTCTGTAGGCATTCAATAAATATTTTTATAACATGAGTAAATGAGTGAAATACACAGAGGGAAGATGGATTTACTCAGGATTAACTCCTTAAAACTATATCCGTTTATAAGGGTATTACAATCTCAAGAAGTACCGGAGTTCCTGGAAAGAGATTCAAATACTTTCTAAAATTTGGTTTCAATTACAGAAAAGATATAATTATATAATTATCAAGATATGTTTCTAGAATTTCCTGCAGTACTAGGATAGGACACAAACTCTCAATGTATAATGTGAATATGTACATATGTACAATGTGTATATATACATGTAAGTATATCCATACAAATTATGTTATATAAAATTTGAGTTTTATATATATGAAAGTATGTATGTGTGTTATATATATATAACATACATCAGCTGGAAACAAAATTAAAGTTAATTTTATCTTAAATAATTTTGTTTTTATAATGTCTTTGTCCAGTATTTTGGGATTTGTTTAGGTTAGAGATATTCTTGATATATAGTTTAGTTATGTGTAAATTTAAGCCCTTTAACCATTAGAAAAAAAATGTAATTTGTGAAATTAAACAAAAGAATCAGATTAACAATTTGAATTTTATTATAAAAACTTGGGAGTATCCAAATACCACATTACTTTCTTGAACATTTTGTACTAGTACAAGATACTGTATAAAAGCATGGCAACAAATAAAAATATGTTTAGAGCATCAAGAATCCTATCAAAAATTATTTTCCATCCTCATTGAGACTTGCAGTCAAAAATGTTTAAATTCACCTCCAAATAATCTGTAGAGCTTTCAGATGAATATAATTAAGTATAAACAATTTTACTTCTGTTTCCACATCATTAGTTATCATACTTAAATTATTGATTATAAGATGCAATGATTTTCAAAAGTTTTATTTTTAAATGAATAATGAGTTAGGAAAACTTCAGGAATATGTTTGGTGAAAAAAATGATCACTTAGGAAACAATGCCATGTTTAAATTCAAAATTAAAACACATCAAAAAAGTGCTTAATAATTGGAAAGTATCTTGGTCACTGAGAAATTTTAGTTCCTATTTAAGTAATTTATTGGTATAATGCTGCTACATAACAGTAATCTATCCCAGTGACTTACTTTCAGAAATAAGTGCTTATATATCTGGAGTCTGCTGGGGTCACTTAGGAGATTGATCACCTTATCTGGATTGATTGACTAGCGATTGGTCCACCACAGCTTCAGCTGGGGCCAGTATGGCACCGCCTCTTAATTTACGTTTCATCCTCCAGTAGTTCTCATTGTGTCTTACTCAGCATTCTCCAGGGAAACAGAATCTGTAAGATGTATGTGTGTATATTTATTTATACATATATATGTAGAGAGAGGGAGGGAGAGATTGATTGATTGATTGATTATAAGGAAATGGCTGACAAAAATATAGAAGCTAAAATGTTGAAAATAATGTAGAGAAAGATAAACAATTGAAGTTATTAATGCAATTAATCCAAAACATTTTAAAACAATCTTTAATATGATTTTCTTTTCACAAACACTTCTTTGTGGCCTCATTTTATCATACATAATTCTGAATGCTTTCTTACTCATAAGTCCAGATAAGATTTATAAGATATGATATAAACTTAAAAGAAATCTGTTATTGCTTGAAAAATTATTAACAACCATATTATGTAACTTTATACTAATTGATTATATGACTTAAATAACAAGCATTTGAATTTCAAGTTTTTGTCCTGAAGTGATGTTTTTGTTTCTTTCTTCATAGATAATATAGTAGAACAAAGGGGTCAGAAATTTACATATGAATGATGGATGCCAAGGGAAACTGAAAATTAAAGATTAAAATAATTTTCTATAAGTGCTGATAAATTCTTTTTATGTTAAGAGAAATTTTGATAATCACTTTATTAATGGATTAGCATACCAATTCTTGAAAAATAATGTGAAAGTGAGAGAAAAAATATATTGAGATTTTATGATGCTCTGTGAAGGTGAAAACTTTGATTAAAGTAAATACAAGAATAGTTTATAATTTTATGCAGTATATAGATTTAAATTTTACTTATCTCTTTGGGAAATGTAATCTAATTTGGTAATGTTTTAAAATTTTATTCTTCATGAGGAATATTTTTAGCATGCTAACTTGAACTGGCTTTAATTTTTTTACAATTTCCTGTTTTCAGATTCAAAATTTATTCCTTGTACTTGTAAAGAAGAAAAACTTACTTCTAAATTCAAACAAATTATACACACAGTAAATTAATTTTGTTATTCACTGATACCCTTTTATTATATAATGGCATCTTTTTATCAGCATTCATGTTACCATTTTCAGGGCAAACTCAAGCTCCCTTATTTTTCTGGAGTCACACAGAGAAGAGACCTATTGGTCTTTCAGTTTAAATCATGATGCCTGTAAAACACTGTGAAAGCAAACATGATTTTTGAAACATAACTCAAAGTTGTAAGTAGCTGCAAAGATTTACACACAGATAAGAATTCCTCCATGACAAAATTTCTTCCCAGTTGGCCTCCTCCTAAAAAAAATTTGCAAAATAGTCAAATAAACCATGTCAGAATATTTAGAAAGAATAAATTTTAAAATTAATATTTATCTTCAAATCAAAGATAGTTTTCTTTATGTAAGTATCACCTGTGTATCATCTCTTTATAAGATTTTGCCACATTTTGAACAACTGTACTAACTAATTCATGAACATTCCAAATAAATTAGAGGAACGTAATTTTCAGGCAACTGTGTATCATTCTGAAATGTCTTGGATCATCACATAAAAAATTTCAGGCTACGTAAATCCTATGTATCACAAAGGGAAATTTTCCAACCCTATAGTGTAATTAGGAACTGAACTACAATAACAAAAAATATTTTCAAATGTATTCCTCCAGATTTCATCTCTTGAGGTGATTAGAGAACATTGTAGAATCTAGGAAAAGGTAGTCTTTAACACAAAAGCTAAATAAGAGAATATATAGGCTAAGTGGGAGTTGGAAAAATCTCTCAATCATGAAGCAGCATCACACTGGTTTTAGAGTTGGAAAGATCTGGATTCTAAAATATGTCCGGCAGAGGCGTTCGAAGACTTAAAAAAAAAATTCAAGAATTTTAAATTTCCTCCTGTGGGAAAACAAACATAATAATAATGTCTCAGTCAGAAATTGTGAGGATTAAGTCAGATAACTTATGCAAATTATTTGGCACAAAGTAATTCCTAAATATATGGCTATTGTTACCCTCTACTCTAAGCTTTACTTGGACAGGAAATAAATCTGCCTTTTTCACTTTTCTGTCTCCAGACTCTAGGACAGTTCCTGGAACATACCATGTGCACAATAAATGTTTGATTAATAGGTTAATAAATTCATCTGGCAGGCACAAAAAGGGGAAAAGAAAGGATGAAAATTTAAAAATGCCACACTTCTTGGTACAGGTCAATATGTCTTCTCATATTTAAAGTAAAGCCTTTCCTATTAACTAAACAGAAAGGTGTGCTCATTTTTTATATTACACTAATGTAATATGAATTAATGTACATGCATTCATTTATGGGAAATACACATGGACCCTGAGATTCCATTGAAAATGGTAGATGCATAGATAAAATCATGAAAGAAATACTGGGTAATAATTGAAAATGTTATTAAATTTTGATTCTCAGGAACTTAATGATTTATCTTTACCCAATTTGAAATTTGTTTTCTTTGTAGCTTTTAAAATAAATGATAATTCCTTAAACTATCATTTCTCCCTAGTTATTACACAACTACTTTTCTTCTCATATGAACCCCCTATATCTATATTTAAAAAGCAATTCCATATTAATGTGATTATTATATTGTTTCTGCGCATTTATCATCTCCTGTAGCCTGATATTCTTTACTCACTTTTATATCCTTTTCATTTTGGGAACTCTTAAATGATGCAGTACATGGTTATCAACTGAATATACAGATATAGTGTTTTGAGTTAAAGAAACACTTTAAGAATTGGTGGGACAATTGTGCAATGGTAGATCTGAAAGTTTGAAGCAACTGAAAAATTGTGAGAAATAATTTAAGTCTGCCTGAAAACATTTGAGAAATAGGAAGGAAACATAAAAGCTAAATTACAATGACAAATTCAGGAGAAGAAACCCAGAGAATTAAGCTGAGCATTTGGGGTCCTTTTTCCCCTCAGTTGACAGTTTCCTGATGACATTGCAGAAAGAGATAAGTGAGACATTTAACAATGAGCAGTGCTTTTGGAAGCCTCATGAGAACAGGGAGTCTAGCCTGTATCCAGTGGCTGACCAGAGTAGTTGACAACCTACCCATATTTTGGTATGGAAACCCTAAAAGCAAAGCCATGTTAGGGAGAACCAAATATAGATAATTCCAGGGTGTCAAACCTGTGGCCTGTGGGCCTCATGCAGCCCAGGAAGTCTGTGAATGGGGCCAAACGCAAAATCATAAATATACTTAAAACATTATGAGATATTTTTCTGATTGCATGGTACAATGTATTTAGTGTGTGGCCCAAGACAACTCTTCTTCCAGTGTGTCCCAGACACCAAAAGGTTGGACACTCCTGCAAAGAGATTGAAGCCAGGTTTTCATCATTTCATTTCCCCAAATTGAATCAGGAAGAAATGGCAATGTCACTAGCAACTTGCAGGAGGAAATGTCTATCCTCTCTAAAGGAGATGAGCTCATCCAGATTAAACTATCGCTATAACTTTTTAAGTATGATACCACCATTCAATAAGAATAAGAAGAATAGAGCACATATAAAAAAAGGCAAGATGATGTAACATGTTTAAAACACATTCACAATTGTCAGGTAGGATAATCCTTACATGTTCCTCCTTCTGGAGGGCAGGCTGGAACACGGTGGTTGGAGTTAGCGTGACTATTGATTAGTGTCTCTGCAGAGTCAGGACTTGCAGCACCCTGATTGCAAAAAACAAACATACAAACAAACAAAAACCACGCTCACACTCACAAGGGTCCTAGACACTGGAGTTCTCAAACTGAAATTTAAAGTATACGCAATATATTCAAAGACATTAAATAGAATGCTTAAATTTTCAGCATAGAATTAGAAAATATAAAAAAGAAAACAAATGAAATACAGTAACATAAGATAAGTGAAATTAAGGATTCAATGTAGGGACTTAACAGCAGAGAAGACAGTTTAGGAGGGTTTTATGGAACTAGAAAATAGATAAAAATAAAAGTATCAAGGACAAAGTAAATAAAAATAATGAAGACAAGATAAAGCTCTTTAGACGTGTAAGTTCTATAAATATGTAATTGGAATTCACTCCAAAAAAAAAAAAATGGCAGAAAAGATACAGAAATAACCTTGCATAGAAAAAAAGCATATATATATGTTTTATATATATAAAATAATATATATAAATAATATATATAATATATATATTTTAAGGATCTCTAAAGAACATAAACACTTTGTCAACACACATCATAACAAAACTCCTGAAGTGAAACATATGAAAACTTCTTAAAAACAACATACAAAATAGTTTGCTTTCAAAGGTGCCAAGGTGGACTTAGTTACCACTCCTCAACAGAAACAATGGCAACATAACCAGTGATAAGAAATACAATTTTAAAAAGAAATTAGAATTGGAGGAAAACAGAAAATAAAGTTAATTGGCAAATTAAATAAAATAGTGAAATTATGTATTTAATGCCAAATAATATAAAACTTAAATGTAAATGTACTAATAATCAAATTAAAATACAAGCATTGTGGCTGTGATTTATGCAGTTTATCAAAATCACACTTAAAGATAATAATTTATAAAAGTTGAAAGGAAAGAATGATAAAGCTATGCAATGCAAATACTATCTAATAAAAGTGTGCAAGAATATGTAGGTCATAAAGTAGATTACAAGGCAAAATGCATTACAAGAGATGCCGTATCATGGTGAAATGTTACACATTACGTGTTAAAAGATTTTCACATGTATTGCTGAATAACTGAAAGGAAAAACCTATAGGATATAGAAGATTTGAAAAACATTTTTAAAATGGACCCAGTGCCCACTTATAGAAGACTGCACCCATCAACTGTGGGTACACATTGTTGTCAAGTGCAAATAGAAATATAACAAAATTGATCACATTCTGGTCCAGGAAACAATCTCAGCATGCTTTAAAATGTAACACATTAATTACGTTTTCTGACCAGAAAGTAATTAAGCTATAATTCAATAACAAAAAAAAAAAACAAAACCCAAAACTGTAGGCAAACAGCTTTATGTTTCAAATGAGCTATAATGTTACTGGAAAAATTAGAATCAAAATCAAAATTACAAGATAACATTGTATAATAAATTTTTAAAACTACATATTAAAATTTGTGCTTGACTTCTGCTTTGAGCTAGTCATGATTAACTTTTATGAGAACTTAACTACCTTCTAAACAATGAATAAACTGGACTTTTCACAAATTTGGCAAGGTTATTCATTGTGGTGGAAATGAGACTGTTTTTAAAATATTGTGCTAAAACAGATACTTATCCATATGCAAATAAAACAAAAAAAATAAAAACAAAACTTAGACACATTTCAAACCATACAAAAAAAATGAGATGTAATAGATCAAAACCGTAAAAATATAAGCTAAACACTATCAAACATTTAGAAAAATATGAGAAGAAAACCTGTGTGTCTTTGGATTAGGAAATGATCTATTAGATAGGTCTCAAAAAGCATGAAAGAGAGGATGATAAATGTTTTTAAAAAATAAAAAAATAACACACATATGAAAAGGTAAATCGGGAAGAAAATATTTACAAAACATATATTCAGTTACACACATGCATTCTAAAGAAGTATTACAACACCAAGACAAAATATCTTAAATAAATGGGTAATTTTTACCAATGAAGGTTTATAAATATCAACTAAACACAATCAAATATGTTCAACACCATTAGGCTTTAAGGAAATTCAAATTAAAATGACAATGAAATACCACTATGAATCCACTAGAAGGGTTAAAATTAAAAGCAGAGACAAAACCAAGTGTTGAAGAGGTTGTGGAGCCACTGGAATTTTCTTATATTGATGGTTAAATGCAAAACATCACAGTCAAAGAAATAGTATTCAGTATCTTAGCAAATTAAACATACACTCACCATAAATCATCATCATAGTCTGTACATTCACCAAGAATACATGAAAGCCTATGTTTGTGCAAAGATGGGTACTCAAATGTTCATGGAACTTTATTAATAATTCCAAACTGGAAATGAACTGAATGTGAGTGGGGGGGAAAAAAGCATGGTATGTTCACACAATGGAGTGTTATTCATCATTAAAAAAGAATGCAGCCCAGGCCGGTGTGGCTCAGTAGACTGAATGCCGGCCTGTGAACCAAAGGGTGGTTGGTTGGATTCTCAGGCAGGACACATGCCAGGGTCGCAGGCCATGTCTCCAGTAGGGGGCGCATGAGAGGCAATCACACACTGATGTTTCCCTCTCTTTTTCCCTCCCTTCTCCATCTCTAAAAATAAAAAAAAAAAACCTTTTTCTAAAAAAAAGAATGCAGTACTTACACACTGAAACACTGTTCATTGAATTTTAGCAAGGTTAGGCTAAGGGAAAACATCCAGATAAAAAAGACTACATATTGCACGAAGGTTATATATGCATTACAAAAACACATATCAAACTCTCAAGAGATTCTATAGGCTAGAAAAAGATCAGTGGTTGTCAGAACCCAGGGAGTAGAGGGGGGATTGACTAATAAAAAGCATGAGGGAACCTTTTGAAAATGGAGATGTTCAAATCATGTTTTCGGCGGTGTGGTTACATGACTATGTGCATTTTTTTTAAGGACCATTTTTTTGGTGGGGGGTGGGTTTCTGCAGTTTATTTTCAAAAAAGCATTATTGCTGTACCATATAGGCAAAGGGTGACACCAGGACTTTGAACAACAAGAATATCACAATTCTTATCCAACAGATTAGACAAAAACCAGGAATGTGGTTCATCATTCCTCAAGACCTCAAAAATTGCATTTATCCACTATTTTTTTAAGTAAGGTGCACTCAGCAGCACGTTAGCGTGTGAAAAAATGCTACTGCTGCAGTTAAATACTGTCATTTCACTTTCCCTTCTACAAAGCCATTCGACATCAAGGAGAACTCCTGGAGGTGAAGTAGGACAAAACATTAGGGGCAAATGAGAAGCCTAGCTAAAGCCTAGGCCAACCAAGAATAAGGTTGGAGCAACTCAGCACTACTATGAAAGGACGAGAACTCAGAAATGCCAACCCTATGAGACAAACAGTATACTTATAATTGATTAATTTTATGGCAGGTAAATTATTCCTCAATAAAACAGATTTTTAAATTGTTAGAAAAAAGAAATTTCTTCACACATAGAATTTGCTTAGAAGAAAACCCATCACCATAAATAGGAAAGAAAAGCTTCAAATGTCTGAGCTAAGATTCTATCTCAGCGAGCAAGTATAAGTAAGTGAAAGGACGGCAAACATCTTTACGTAGAAAGAAGGAAGGACAAAGCAAAGAGCAGAGATAAATGAAAAGATATATAAATATAAATATATACACATACATAGAGAGAAAATAAACAAAATCTAAAGTTATTTCTTTGAAAAAGACTAGTACAAATTGGTGAATCTCTCTGGTCAGACTGAGCAAAACTAAAAGTAAGAAAGTATAATAATCAATACCAGAAATGAAAAGGACACTCACTACACACACATATATATTGGATAGGCCAAAAACTCCATTTAGTTTTCTCCATAAGATAAAAGACACATTTTTCATATTCATCAATAACTTTATTGATTTGGATATTTTGAGTATGTTAACTCTTTCTTGCTATTGGCTTCTAGTGGATAGAGGCCAGGGGTGCTGCCAAATATCCTCTAATGTGTAAGACATCCTCACAGCAAAGAATTATGGCCAAAATGTCAATAGTACCATGAAACTTCTCAAAACACTTTTGGCATGTTTGATAAGTTATAGCACTTTCTTCAAACATTGTACAAATCTTTTGTGTTTCAGTTGCATTTTTACCTTTCTTGAAATAATAAAGCATAGTATGCCAAAATGTTGCTTATTTTCTTTCACCTTCATATTAAAATGGCTGCAAAAAATTCACTGATTCTGATGAAGTTTTTATTAAAAATATACCCTGATATGAGAGCTGTCACAATATAATCTAACAAAATTGTTTCAAACGAAGTTAAAGACAACTAAGAGCTAATAGAGCCACCTTATAGAAAAAAACTAAACGAACTTCTTGGCCAACCCAATATTAATAAAGTCATAGAAATATATTTTAAAAACTATTTCAGTAAATTTGAAATTTCATTATATAAGTCTCTGGAAAACCACAACATTTAATACTGATATTAAAAACAGTTATATATCTGAATATTCTAAGAAAATCTATTTGTAATTTAGAATCTTGTATTAAGAAATGTCAATCCATGGTTATCAAAAGTGACTTACATTTGAGGGAAAAAAAATTGTTTATATTACACAAACAAAATCAATAGAAAAAAATGTAAAAGTCCAGAGTAACTTCTTATTAATATTATAAGAGCTCTAGTGAATAATGTAAACAGAATGCAAAATCTGAAAATAATATTATTAAAAGGAAAATTACAAGTGACTATATTTCTTAAAGAGGTGCAAAATTATTTAAAAATATATCTACAGAAATAATTAAGCAATATGTAAAAATATAATTTTAGAAGTCCAAATTAGATATATTCCAGGAATGCAAGATTAATACAACACTTAAAAATCTATGTACTATTTCACATCTTCAAAGTAGGAGAGAAAAATATGTAATATTTCAAAGATTTAAAGTACTTGATAAAATTCATATCTATTTTTGACAAAAAATTTTAGAAAATTGAAACAATAATTTTAAAGTCTTTATCTAGTACATTTAAT